ATGTCCTTATCTATCTATCTATCTATCTATCTATCTATCTATCTATCTATCTATCTGTATCCAATGCTGTTTATATATCAGTCTATCCAAATATATGATAAAATGTCCTTATCTATCTATCTATCTATCTATCTATCTATCTATCTTTATCCAATGCTGTTTATATATCAGTCTATCCAAATATATCATAAAATGTCCTTATCTATCTATCTATCTATCTATCTATCTATCTATCTATCTATCTATCTGTATCCAATGCTGTTTATATATCAGTCTATCCAAATATATCATAAAATGTCCTTATCTATCTATCTATCTATCTATCTATCTATCTATCTATCTATCTATCTATATCCAATGCTGTTTATATATCAGACTATTCAAATATATCTTAAAATGTCATCTATCTATCTATCTATCTATCTATCTATCTATCTATCTAATTCGTTCTCATCTATTTAAATATATATATATATATATATATATATATATATATATATATATATATATAAACCTTAGTCCTAATCCAGCTATCTATCCCTTCAATTCTGTTCATATCTATCTATCTATCTATCTATCTATATATATATATATATATATATGAAGATTTTTTTTAATCTAGCTATTCAATTGTGTTCATATATAGCTATCAGAGTCTATTCAAATATATCTGAAAATGTCGTCAACTATCTATCTAAAGATATATATATATATATATATATATATGCATTTGTTCGCATCTATCTATAAATTCAATTCTTTTCATATATATCGATCGATCTAACTATATATGTATCTAAATATATATACATATAAACATTTGTTCTCATCTATGTGTATAATTCTGTTCTATTTATGTCTCTCTCTCTATCTGTCTATCTATCTATCTATCTATCTATCTAATTCTGTTCATATCTATCTATCTAATTTTGTTCATATCTATCTATCTATCTATCTATCTATCTATCTATCTATCTATCTATCTATCTCTGTTCATATCAGTCTATCTATATCAGATGATAATAACTATCCATGTAATTTTACCCTGAACGTTGTTCGCCACTTTCAATCTAATCTCTTCAGCCTGTTTATAGAAGGGTAATGGAAAGTAACTCCCCTTGCTGAGAGAAAATGCCCTGGATATAGCATTGTTCTACAATGATCTTCTAGGTCATGAGATTTTCATTGATTTTATTTGGTTTACCAATCGTAGCTCAGCATGGCACAAGGCTTCAGGCCTGGGGCGTCCACACAATATCGAAATCGCTACTCTATACAATTAGCTTTCAAATTCGATCAATACCAAAAGCCTTATTTTAGTTTCTTCTTTTCTTTGAATGTTTTTTCCCCATTTCTTTCTGCTGTATATCAACCTGTTGACGTTTGTAATGGATTTCATTTACAACTATGCACCCAATCCTTCAACACCATCTCTCGCCTTGGTGAAATACATTTACATGTGTTTATTAAGATTATCTGTCTTGAGTTCGGCAACAGCAATGGCTAAACATATTTCCACATTAGTTTTGGTCTTGATTCAGAAACAAATCTAATTCTGTTCATGTAAGTCAGTCCGTCTGTCTGTTTGTCTGTCTATCTATCTATCTATCTATCTAATTCTCTCTCTCTCTCTCTCTCTCTCTATCTATCTAAATCTGTTTTATTTATCTATCTATCTATCTATCTATCTATCTATCTTATTTTGATCTATCTATCTATCCATCTATCTGTCTGTATGTCTATTTAATTCTCTTTAAATCTATATAATTCTATTTATATCTATCTATCTATTTAATTATGTTCATATCTATCTATCTATCTATCTATCTATCTATCTATCTATCTATCTATCTATCTAATTGTGTTCTCTCCATCTCTGATTCTCTTCTTCTCTCTCTCTCCTCTCTCTATATATATATATATATATATATATATATATATATATATATATCTTTAAAGTGTACATTAGTTCTTTTTCCTTTCTTTCTTCTATTCGATATATTTATGTCCATTTTTATCTTTTTTATTCTCTTCTTCATTTTTTTCCTTTTGCTGCCGAGAGACAGTTAATTCGTTTCTTTGTTTCTTTCTCTCTATCTCTCTCTTTCTTTATATGCATGATTATTTTTCTTTCCATTTCTATTTCTCTCCTTTCTTTTTTCTATCTTTTACATCAGTTTTATTAATTATATTTATTTTCTCGCTTTCACTTCATATTCATTAATCTTTCTTTCGTTCTTGCTTATTTTTTTAAAAATTTCTCGATGTATTTTCCTGTTTCCTCCTTCAATTATTTTTTTTAGTCAAATAACAAATTAATAGCCAGAATAATTTACTGCTGCTTGTCAAATTTTCTCTTCCCATTTCAGGCATCCTTCTCTAGTAACTAATATCTAAAACGTGGCAAAGTTTACCTCGCTGAAAACATTTATTTTATAGGTGACTACTAATATGATGTCAGCAGTCTCGTCAAGCCTGATTATCAGGGAAACAATAATTTGATGCCCCATATGATTGACATATACAAAGATCAAAATATATCTTTGTATCAGCTCCAAAACCAGAAATCTATCTATCTATCTATCTATCTATCTATCTATCTATCTATCTATCTATCTTCCCCTTATACATATCTATCTATCTATTTATCTTCCCCTTATACATATCTATCTATCTATCAATCTTCCCCTTATACATATCTATCTATCTTCTATCTATCTACATATCTATCTATCTATCTATATCTATCTATCTATACATATCTATCTATCTATCTATCTATCTGGCTTACTGTAATATCACTTTGAAACACTGGTTCCCGTACGATTACAGTAGTTAAGCAACGTCGAGCTTGATCAGTACCTAGATGAGTGACCACTTGAGAAGACCAGGTACTGTAAGCTTCGACGTGTGGTTGATATAATGGATAATGGCTCGGAACTGAATATTGGAAAGCTAAGTTCAAATGCCATTTGTGTTTCTTATATTGCCTTATGCGCAAATACGCTTCGGCAAGGTGTGAATCTACCTATACTTCTCCCTGCTATGAGTTAAATAGCAGGACTTTTAGCAGTAAAAATAAAAATTACTTCGCCAAAATTTTTTTTAGAGTCTGAAATATTTTTTGAAATTAATACCACTTGATAAAGCATGACAAATACAAATCTATCTATCTATCTATCTATCTATCTATCTATCTATCTATCTATCTATCTATCTATCTAAATTTGTACTCATCTGTCTATTTATCTATATATTTGAATTTATTCATTTCTATCTATCTAACTATTTATCTCTCTCTCTCTCTATATATATATATATATATATATATATATATATACATATATATATATATATATATATATATATATATCCATCTAAATTTGTTCTCTTGCATCTCTCTATATATATTGGTATCTCTCTCTCTCTCTATATATATATATATATATATATATATATATATATACATGTATATCTATCTATCTATCTATCTCTATCTATCTATCTATCTATATATATATATCCTTCGAAATCCATTGTATCTAAATTTTTTTCTTTTCTAACGATCAATGCATCTCTGTACATATATATATATATATATATATATATATATATATATGCTCCTTTATATCTATCTATATCTGTCTATATATCTATAGACTGAACTCTTTTTAATAGCTATCTAAATATGCTCTTTTCTTTCTTTCTATCTATCTCTTTAAATTTGTTAACTATCTATATATATCAGTTTGTTATTTTCTACCTATCTCTCTCTCTCTCTCTCTCTCTCTATATATATATATATATATATATATATATATATATATATCAATGTAAATATGTTCTTTTCTCTTTATCTAACTAAATATGTTCTCTTCTATCTATCTATCTATCTCTCTCTCTCTCTCTCTCTCTCTGTCAGTCTCTCTCTTTATATATATATATATTTATATATATATATATATATTGGTGAAACTTTTTCATGTGTAAATGTTTATATAAATTTCTGACCTCAATCATATGTGCTTTTGCCTTGATGCCTATTGTATAGAGTATATGGGAGCTGAGTCAAAACCTACTCACGTTCATTCGGCATTTCCCCATTGTTATGCAACAGGTGCAACGGATTTACCTTAGCCCCCGGCTAGATTAGGTAATCAGCCCCACCCCTGAATCTGAAATGAAATGTAATAGTAAATCCGCATAAATTTGCAATGTCCACTGAAAGATATGCGTATATATCGCCGTGAAAATTGGAATCAGCGTGCCGTGTTCAAATTCCGCTCGTGGCACTCGCATTCACTGTTGCACAAAATTCAGTCCTCCTCAATTATAGCTTAAATAGCAGGACCAATAGTAGAAACTATTTGCTACAAAACAATAAGGCCATCATTTAATGTACCGAGGCTTTGACTCTGTACTACATAGGGTGTCTACAGGCCACTTCAATGGAAGTATGGTACAAAGCCGAGTTTAATTTGCAGTCACGCGAGTACCTTTGACCATCGACAAAAAGTGGTGAAGCATATAACAAACTGAAATTTAATTAGGTGCTAAATACCCTTGGGAAAGACATGAATCCTCTTCTTCTCCACCCCCCATCTTTGTATAAATAGCAGGACAGACTGGGTTCTACAGCCTTTGACGGCAACTGCTCTACCGCAGAAACAAATGGTAACCTACTGCGGGATAAATTTGCCTCGTCAATCATGTATCGAAAGATACATTATCGCCTAAGTGTTTATCGCATATGGCACATAACTGTCATAGCTCCTTCTACATGGTAGTAAACGCTGGACCTCTCCTCACAGCTGATGAAGATAGTTCAATTAACAGATATTTGCTTCTACTGAAGGATCCTGCGAAGACCATGGACCTAACATGTGATCAGCCAGGAAGTGTGGCCATCGACAAAAAATGGTGAAGCTTCCTCCGCAATTCTTATTTTGTAGCCACCCATGCGCTGGGAAAATTTACTGCATAGCGGAAAAACCCATGACAAACAGAGCATAAGAAATGTAATCGACACAAAAAAAAAAAAATGAAGGCTTAGCATGTCGCTTTTATCTTGGACAACATAGTTCATTCTTATTAGACATAATTTATTTACACATTCAGCTTTAAGAATCAAAACTGCTCTCTATTACTCACCACAGGGAATCATCTCTGCCTCCCATTAGAATGTCTGATGCTCGACTCTATGACAGCAACTCTTTGCGACTGCTTGGTTTCACACTTGTCCGCTGACCTGAGATGGAACAAATACATTGAATCAATAGCTTCATCCACCGCAAGAAAAGTTGGTTCTCTGTATCGCGCCAGAAAGATTTTCCCGTCCGAGTCCATCCTTCAAATCTATAAATCAACCATTCGCCCTTGCATGGAATACTGCTGCCATATATGGTCCGAAGGCCCGCTGTTCGTCTTAAGGTCCTCGACAAAATCCAGCGACGGATATGCAATGTGATTGGCTCTGATTTAGCATCACGTCTATAGTCGTCTCCCTCTGTCTTTTCTACAAATACTTTCACGGTAACTGCTCTGAGGAGCTTCTTTCGCTAGTTTCCAGACGGCATGAATTTAAACGTGCCACTAGGCTGGCATCTCGGTCCTACCCTTTCTCTGTCGAAACCTTTAAATGTAGCCGTCTCTTCTATTTCAATAGCTTCATGTCTCGCACCTTCCATCTAAGGAATTCCTTTTTTATTACTTGTTTCACTGAGAGCTATAATCTCCAACTATTCAAATATAATGTCAATCGTCATCTCCAGATGTCAATCGACATCTTGCCCTATCCCCGCCTTCATCCTTTCCTCTCTCACGCTTCTTTACTCTCGCTCCCACTCTCTGTAACCTCTTACATGCCAGTGGCATCAGTCCTTGCTTGGGGTGTAATGCTTAAAAAAGAATGCTTATATAAGATCCATCGCTAAAGACGCAGGTAAAATGATCGACTCCCTGTACCGCTCCAATACGTACCTGATTCCTCATGCTAACTTTATAAGAGCCAGATCAGGTTGAAAATAGAGGTTGCCATATTTGGGCGTGATTTGTCCAGACCTCATTTTCTAGTCTTGATAGAGTTGAAAAGCGTCCTTGTTGGAGGAGAATTATTTTCTGCACTCCGACCTCTCTCTCACAGTCGGCACTGCTCTGTCGTTACTTCCATGGAAAGTGTTCGGACGAACTGCACCATTTGGTCCCACCAGGTCTGATCATCATGGCTAGGACCCACCATGCAACTTACATCGTAACAAACCACCCTCATTCCCTCTGTATTCCATCGGTTGAAGTAAGTTTCACTTGAACAGCTTCTTCCCTAGATTCACTTCCCTATGGAATAAACTTCCAAGACTATGGCTCCCAGATCACTACAATCATAACCTATTCAAGTCTAGTCAAGAGTTATCTTTCCTTCTTAACCATAGAAACTACCCCCGAACATAACAATTTACCATGAGTGATCCCTAAGCCTTGTAAGGGGTGAACTTTACTGTAAAAAAGTAAATTTTCAATTAATTTTTTAGGGATCATTATACATGAGCAATTTGTTTTTTTTTTTTTGTTTTTTTTTGCTAGCTTTTAATTTAAATAGTTTAGGATGTTTAAAAATGACTTTTCCTTGACTGAAAGTGGTAACGGCTTTACCATTTAGAGCACAGTTTCAGAATAAACGTAATCAACAAGACAGAAATATTGATATATTTATTAGCATACTTTGGGAATCTACCTACGGTGGAGTAATGGATAGCGACTCGGAAGGAGGAATCGGAGAGCCGAATTCGATTTCCAGTCGAATCCATTACATTCACTTAAATGCTAATACACTTGCTATGGATAAATAACAGGACAGACTGGGATCTATAGCCCTGGATGACAACTGGTCTACCGCAGAAAGAAATGGCAGACTACAGCAGGAAAAAAATCTGCCTCGTCTGTCATGTATCGAAAGATACATGATCGGCTAAGTGTGTATACATAACTGACTGACCAAATTTTATAAATCAATCGACTAAAATTACGCTTATATCTTCTTTTTTTTTTTAAATCATTTCACCCCAAGCAAGGTGATAAAGCGACTAAGATGGAAAGAAACTGAGAAGATGGCAGTGGAAAAGGGCTTAAAATCGAACAGAATTTATTTCGTTACGTCTGTAAATAGAATTTTACCTCTGCGTGTATGTATGCGTGCATGTGTGTGCATGTGTGTGTATGTGTGTGTGTGTGTGAGAAACATTCCAGACATGCTAAAAGTGTATTAGATTGGCGGCAAGATCTCACCATTTTACAGTTGAAATGACGAGATGTAACCCTAACTTCGATACTAACAGTTTCTTCTCTCGCACCTCTTACTTGATCTTTAAAAATAAAATGCAATATCAATCGTTATCTTCTATCTTCTTAATTCGTGTTCTCTCTCATTAATATTTTTCTTTTACAGATTCTCTAACACCTCAGTATTCACTTATGTCTTATTAACTTTATTGTCATGTTTGGAAGCAAAGTAATAAAAAGAATATTTTACGCACAGACAAATATATGTATAGATACATCTACTATTGAGTCTTACGAGCATTTTAATCTAAACGTAATATAGAAAGATTATTGAAACCTATTTGTTCATTTCATTGACTGAACAAAAATGGAAACAAAGTGCGTGTTATACAGAAAAAATATGAAATAGCGTATTTATATCTGTTGTGGATTCCGGGATGAAATCCGGTACCAATAAATAACAAACGCCAAGAAGGAATATCGGAAAATAAATGTATTAATGTAATAATACAAACTCGTAATGCAGGTTAGTAGTTCCAGGAATGCGGGTTAATAGCAAAATATATATATAATCTTTGGTATCGACGTATCACTGTAGGACTTCTTCCTGAGTCTCCGTGCTTGCT